GCCCCCCCCCGCCCTAGATCCCCCTCCGCTCCAGCTCCCCCGCCCCCCTGCTGCACCCCCCCGTTCCCCCACCCTGCTCCAGGTCCCCCACTGTTCCACCACCCCCTGCTCTCAGCCCCCCCACTTCAGCCCCCCACTTTTCCACCTCCAGTGCCCCCCCACGCCCACTGATCCAACCCCTCACTGTTCTATCCAGCCAGCTCTCCCCACCCCCACTACTCTTGCCCCACTTCTCCAGCCCCCCATTCCCCCAGCCCCCCCAGTTACACCCCCTGCTGCACCCCCCAATGTTTCACCCCACACACACTTCCAACTCCCACTGCTCCAGCTCCCCATCCCCCACTGTTCCACACCACCTGCTGCCCCAGCCCCCATTTCCTTTTTTTTTCCCCCAACAAAAAAACCCAAGAGCATTTTTAACCAAAATGCAAAATTTTAATTTTGGTCAAAAAGTTGTTTTTTGATGGAAAAAAATTACGCCAGCTCTATACGGGCCCTTCCCTGCCCCAGGCCAGCTGGGTAAAACTGGTTGATGTTTTTAAATTTTTTTTTTCACCATCAAAATGGTTTTTTTTGGCATCCGCCTCAAATCCTCTGCCCTGGCTGGTCCCAGCGGCAGCAGTCTGAGGCCTAGGCCTGGTTTACCACACGCTGGGGGGGTGAAAGCGTTACACTCTTGAGTGCCGTAGCAATGCTAATCTAACCCCCAGTGTAGACAGGCAGGTCGATGCTGCCTACGACAGAAAAACCCGCTGCATGGTTGTAGGAAGCATCTACACCCCACCACCACCACCCCCCTGCTGCAACCCCCCGCTCCCCCACCCCGCTCCAACAGACCCCCCCCGCCCTAGATCCCCCCGCTCTCCCAGCCCCCCACTGCATCTCCCCCACTCTCCCAGCCCCCCTGCTCCAGCTCCCCCCCGCTCCCCCACCCTGCTCCAGCAGACCCCCCCTCGCTCCAGCCCCCCCACTGCACCTCCCTGAGGGATAGCTCAGTGGTTTGAGCGTTGGCCTGCTAAACCCAGGGTTGTGAGTTCAATCCTTGAGGGGGCCATTTGGGGATTTAGTTGGGGATTGATCCTGCTTTGAGCAGGGGGTTGGACTAGATGATCTCCTGAGGTCCCTTCCAACCCTAATAATCTATGATTCTATGATTCACCCCCCTCGGGCACGACAGCAATATAGCTCCAGCACCAGAGATGTGTAGATATGGCCCTACGCTAGGAGTGCTTTGCTAGTATATCTATCCCCGCATACTGTGCTGGCAAAGCGCTCCTAGCATGAACGTGGCTTCTACCCTTATCAGTCTAGCCGCCTGCGTCTACGCTAGGAGCTTTTGGCAACACAGCTCTGTCGGCCACAGATCACAACCCCATCCCGCCCCGACCGAGGTAGCCGTGCCGGCAACAGTCTGTAAAGCAGCCCCGGCCTGAGATTTGGGAATACCTCTCCTCCAGCTCTGTCTCTGCGACAGCCACTCGCTCTCCTCTGCTGGGAGGAGCTGTCTGCCAATTACTCTTTGCCATACACAGACTGCGAGCTCTTTGGGGCAGGGACAGGCTGTGTGCATTTGTCCAGCGCCTGGCACAAGGGGGCCCTGACCTGACTGACACCTGTCGTCGCTATCCCAATACAAATGTAATAGTCACGCACCGACTCCTGTGTTCGGTCCCAAATGTTTTCAGCCTTTTTTGTTTTTAATTGATCTTGGCTGCTAAGTCACAAAACCCAGCCAGATCCAGCAGGACCCCAAACACACCTCTCCCCCAGGGCTACCTTAACACCTCCAAAATCTGTGGCCTACGGGAACGGTCTTGCGGGATCAGAGGGGCGTTTATCTGCACTGGGATCAGCCAATATTTGCGTCAGAGGCAGTGAAACGAGACTTCCCGGTAATCCAGGAGTGGGGCTGCGAAATCAGCTCACAGAAGGGCAGGCTCCACGTTGGCTTTTAGTTTGACCCTCCCGGCACTGACTTTGTGGGGCTCCTTTTCCAGGCGGGAACCCAGCTCCGTTGCTGTGGTGGTACCAGACCTTGTGCCGTTTGAGAAAACCAGCCTGCTGGATGCCTATGCCCTTTGCCTGCGGGGATCAGAAAGAGATGGCCACCGGACAAGCCCTCCTGCTTTTAATACTCATCGGAGTAGCCGAGCCCGGGGCAGGTCGATGCCCTGCCTGCGAGATGGCAGCCCTGGACCCAGGCGTGCAGAAGGCGTTCCTCATTGAGCTAGCAAAGGAGAGTATTCTCTCCAAGCTGCACTTGAAGGAGCGACCCAATGTGACCCAGCCAGTCTTCAGCGCTGGCCTCCTGACAGCTCTGGGGAGGCTCCGTGTCGGGCGCACGACCCCGAGCGTCACGTCGGAGATGCCGAGCCAGAGCCCCAAGCCGGATGAGCAAGACTATGAGATTCTCAGCTTTGCTGAGCCAGGTCTGTAAGGTCTCACGGGATGGCTCAAGGGGTGCTGCAGGGGCATAGCGTGGGAAAGAGACATCCCCCGAGAGGGGCCTCTGCAAGGGGGCATTTTACCCCATTGCAACCCCAAAAGGGTGCAGGAACATAAATCACTCCCCCAAGCACTTACATCCAACCTTACACCTCAAGGAAATAAACACATAAGAGTAGTTCACTGTCAAACTGGGGGAGAGTGTTTAGCGAGGTCCTGCAGGGGTAAGCCCTGGGTCTGGCACTATTCAATATTTTCATCGGTGACTTGGGTAGTGGAGTGGGGGGAATGCTTCTACAACTTGCCGATGACATCAAGGTGGGAGGGGTAGCAAGCTTTGGCGTTCAGGTTTAGAATTCAAAATGACCTTGACGAATCAGAGCATTGATCTGAAATCAACAAGATGCAATTCGATAAAGACAGAGGGCAAAGTACTTCCCCGAGGAAGGAAAAATCAAACGCACAACTACACGTTGGTTGCGGGGAGGGGAACTGGCGAGGCGGCCGTACTGCTGAAAAGGGTCGGGGGGGGGGGG